CGAACGAACGAACGAAACGAACGAACGAACGAACGAACGAACGAAAACGAACGAACGAACGAACGAACGAACGAACGAACGAACGAACGAACGAACGAACGAACGAAAACGAACGAACGAACGAACGAACGAACGAACGAACGAACGAACGAAAACGAACGAACGAACGAACGAACGAACGAAAACGAACGAACGAACGAACGAACGAAAACGAACGAACGAACGAACGAACGAACGAACGAACGAACGAACGAAACGAACGAACGAACGAACGAACGAACGAAAACGAACGAACGAACGAACGAACGAACGAACGAACGAAACGAACGAACGAACGAACGAACGAACGAACGAACGAACGAACGAACGAACAACGAACGAACGAACGAACGAACAACGAACGAACGAACGAACGAACGAACGAGAACGAACGAAACGAACGAAGAACGAACGAACTAAACGAACGAACGAACGAACGAACGAACGAACGAACGAACGAACGAAAGAACGAAACGAACGAACGAACGAACGAACGAACGAACGAACGAACGAACGAAAACGAACGAACTAACTAACTAACTAACGAACGAACTAACGAACGAACTAAAAAACGAACTAACTAACTAACTAACTAAAACGACTAACTAACTAACTAACTAACTAACTAACTAAACTAACGAACTAACTAACTAACTAACTAACTAACTAACTAACTAACTAAACTAACTAACTAACTAACTAACTAACTAACTAACTAAACTAACTAACTAACTAACTAACTAACTAACTAACTAACTAACTAACTATCTAACTAACTAACTAACTAAGGCTTCCGTTATTATGTTTGATATGACATTGATAGCGCCTTTCTAAGTAGGACTTCTATTTTGCTATTAAGTCTGCATATATGTATATAAATCTTAAAGGAGCCCATTTTGTCCTTTGATCCACTTTACCAAGATTGAAGTCAGGACAAAAATTTTGATGAATGAATTAAGTTTTCATTTTTGGTGGGACCATCATCAACTACAATTCTGCGGGTAAGTAGATCAATCATACTTGATATATTATCAAACTAAACGTTGCAATTTAAAAGTTAAATTTTCAGGAACAAAATTTATTGAATAGCTGTTTAACCCTAACCACGTGTTAGAAGACTAAAATTTACTTACACAAAAGCATTAGAGGTCATTAAGGCAAGTATTTACCACGCTTGCTTACAAATAAGGAGTGTAAGACGTGCCTATCACAATCACTTGCAAATAAGGGGTTAAGTAAATAGTTTCGCTTTGAGAATATGTACGTCCACTGAGTCCACTGAGTCCACTGAGTAAAAATAATTTTTTTTCCGTTTGTGTAAAAAAGAAAATATCGAGGGTAAAAGAGTTCTTTCATGTACAGTTATTTGTAGGTTATTTTATAAACTCCTTCTAAGTAATGCAGAAGGTATGCAGTAGTAATTGAAAGGTTAGTGTTTGGGAAAGCACAGGTTATTACAATGTTTTTGCTTGCTAGTATAATAACTGAGTTTTATTGTATTATTTATTATATAATAACTGAGTTTTATTGCATTATTTATTATAATTTAAATAAGTCTCCGTTTCTTATTAATCAACAACATCTAAAAGACCCATTTGATCAAATCTTGGCAGCATTACTTTAATAATTCGTTGTACTCTTTCATTTGTATATAATACATTGTGGAATCTTTGCGATTTCTCATCACTGCCCAAAAGGCTTTCAAAATCAGCATCCTCAGTTTTATCGTTGATCATAAGGGGTAGGTTTACCAGTAGCGATGTAACAGCTAAAGAAAATATAGGAAAATATTATATAAACGTCTTTGTGTATAAATCCTGGTATGGGTGGTAACTCACCATAGAATCCCTTCTCTAACAATTGGACATTGAGTTCATGCAGCGTGGGTATATGTTGTTTATAATCTAATTTATGCAAAGTCTCTGATAATACCTGATGATAGTATTGTATTAATTTTGGCTGATGATTAAATAGTAAATCATCTTGACTAGAGGTACAAAGAAAATAATAAAGATCTATTGCAGGAGAAGTCCAATTGCAATATTGAAAATCTATTAATAAAATATCTTTGACATCGGTTTTATTTTGCACATCATTATATAGAACCATAACATTATTAGTCCACATATCACCATGATTTAAAGTTTCGAAATACCTTGTTGGATTTAGATCATAACAACGTGTGGCATATTCTGCTACATAGGGAATTAATTCTAATAGCTTGTCTTTGTAGTAAGATCCCAATTGTGGGCAGGATCCTGCATATTTAGCACATACTCTTATAACATTTTCAAAAAATACACCATAACAGTTGACATGACGATTGAAAATACCATGACAATATTTTTCTAAAGAACCAGATTGCTGCTCATTTAAAACTGCCGCTGTAGCATGCATTTTTGCTAGTTTTCTTAAACAAAGTTTCAGGTGTTTTTCATCCATACCCTCTAAACGATTGGCCATGGTATAGTCACGCACAGCCAAATCTTCAAATATTATAGCATCACGTTCATAATCCACATATATAGTTTTAGCACACAACTGATCACTATCACATATGGCCTCAAGCATTTTTTGCAGTTGTGGAAATACCATTTCATACATTTGCTTTTCGGTATTATAGACATCGTATTGTTCTAAAACACTAAATAAATAAGGATTATTTTCATATGTTGATTTCACTATAAAATGCATTTGATTTGAGACTTTTTCCCGACCAATTTTATAGCTGACTTTCATTCTAGTCATTATACTGCAATAACTTTCTCCTTTCGCTGAGGCCGGTATTGCTTCCATATTTATCACTTTGAGTGTAGTATCTTTAAAATAATTTTTTAAAATATTTTCCACATATTCTAGGGTTAAATAGTCTGGTGTATCGTTGTCACTTGTAGAAGTCATTTTTTTTCTCAATTACAACAAATTATTTTCAGGTACAATTCGCTATAACATTTATATAAAACGCGTGTTTATCAAATGAAATTGTATATTAAATTGTCTACTGCTTTTATAAGTTTAGATTAGAATTGCAATTTCATTTCTGGATGAAATTTTGTGATGCAATAAAATTGTTTTATCATTTGATGGGCTTGTAAAGAGAGACTACAATCCAAACAAATATAATTTACAATTACGTTTATACACTGTGAAAAAGAAATAATTAAAAATTTCAAATGATTCTTAAGCAAGCGTTTTTTAATCTTTCAGAAATGACTAATTGCTTACCATGTATTCAAAAATCACTTTTAGCTGAATGGCTAATTTCTAAATTTAAATAATTTTTCTTTGAGTGTAACAAGTCCGTTGAGTATATAATAATTTAATATTAATAAATATTATTATTGCACGTAAGCTACGATATTTGTTAAAATTTTTATTAAAAAATACACATAAAGTTATTCATTTTAAAATAGAATTTTTCTATATACAGAGAGAAACTAATCTAATAAAATAGATATAATAAAAGCAGAGTAAAATCATTCAGTTTGTCAATATGACATCTGTAATACATACCTACATAATATCTAGGAAGTGTATAGACGATTCTCTATAGCCGAATATACTTTGATACTTTGATTGGATTTTATTTGAATACTTAATAAAAAAATTAAGTGTATATTAAATTATTCTCTTTTTATTTATTCTATTTAATTAATTGCAAATTATTTCCCAAAAGTGTGATACAAATAAATATTTATTTATTTATTCATTATTAATAAGTGAAGTAGAGAGTATGTTACATTTGTTAATAGAATTTAACAAAACCAATCAAAATTGTTACTTTAAATATACCGCAGTATTCCCATGAATAGTCAATAGACTGGTGCATAGACAAGTTAATGGAATGGATTAGCAAAAATACACTAAAATAATCAATTTTCTAGTGAAATATTAATCTAAAACTTTTTGGTAAAAAATTTATTAAATTTAACATGACGTATGATTAACTAAATATTTGTTTCTCCCTCAGTACTCAAAAGTATTTCGATTTGAAATTAATCCTTTTAAGACATCAATTAACAGTGCCAAAAACGTAATACATATACATATGTATAATTATACATAATACATGTATACATACATATGTATTACATGCAATTATATCAATTACTTTTATTGTAGTTTTATTTGCAGCGTCTGCTTATCAAATGAAAATCTACTATAGTTTGTCTGAATAATTTTTTTGCACTACAATTAAAACTAATGGTTATCTTAAACAAAAAGGGAAGGGGGAGACGACACGGGAAAAAGAAAGGGAGACATGAGGGAGCTTCGCAGAAGGGCGGCAGAGCGAGCGAGCCTAGCGAGCGGCAGCGAGCGAGCTATCATCGAGCGAGCGCAGCGAGTCGTACGAGCGAGCGTGATGCGAGCGCACGAGAGAGCGAGCGAGCGAGCGAGCGAGCGAGCGAGCGAGCAGAGAGCGAGCGAGAGAGCGAGCCGTCTATCTATCTATCTATCTATCCATCTATCTATCTATCTATCTATCTATCTATCTATCTATCTATCTATCTATCTATCTATCTATCTATCTATCTATTTATCTATCTATCTATCTATCTATCTATCTATCTATCTATCTATCTATCTATCTATCTATCTATCTATCTATTTATCTATCTATCTATCTATCTATCTATCTATCTATCTATCTATCTATCTATCTATCTATCTATCTATCTATCTATCTATCTATCTATCTATCTATCTATCTATCTATCTATCTATCTATCTATCTATCTATCTATCTATCTATCTTTCTTTTAACATCTAACTTTATAAATATTAAATATTGTTTCAACTTGAAGTGATAATTAACATTGATTATAATTAATCAGTTTACACTTAATTAACACTTAATGCAAAATAAATACAGTTCATTAACAATATTTAATATATACAAATATTTAACAACATTCAAGTTACAAATATAACGATAAACTTACATAAATAAATAATTAAAGATTTAGAGCAAAAGAATTTAACACTATGTCGGTATGTACATACATACATATGAATGTATATAAGTACTGACAGATGGAATACAAACAATTATATGATAAGATCTTATTTAAAAAATAGGAATTGATATTAGAATTCTTAAAAAAAAATAATTTGATAAAAAAAATTTTGTAATAAGTTGTACATTTTATTGTCCGAACACTTAAATATAATGTGGTCGGCTTCTAGATCCACCAGGGGCCGTAAACACTTTGCTAAAAATATATCTTTATGCTGCTTTTAGAAAAGATTTTAGTTTCTTTAAACAATTTTTAAACGTCGCGATATTTGACAAAAAATATGTAGATTTAAAATTCTTAATTAGGAATTTTAATCATACATACATATGCATCTTAATTAAAATAATCAAATCCATATTTTTTTAATGTATATTCTTTGAATAATTTTTTGAATTTTGTTTAACAACAAAAATACCATTGTTTTGCCAAATAAAAAATTTGGCTCTATGATGTGAATAAAATATCAAAACAAAATTAGAAAAAGGGGGCTTAACTTTGTTTAGATAATTATATAAGCCTGACATACATATAGATACTTGTACATATATGTACATATGTATGAACAGTTTGTTTTATAAGCTTATACGCATAAAACAAACAGAAACAGCTTTTGGTATTGGCCCTCTAACGGATATATGTGATTAAGTGACATATTAAAAAAATAGTTTTTACTTTCCATACGATCTAGCAAAGTGAAACTTACAACTAAAATATTCTATCAATATAGAATATAAAATTAACAAAATCCTTGAACTAAAATAGAAAAATGTCTTAGTCAACATACTACATTACCTTAAAAACCGATCAAATGTTTGAAAATTTTAAATTTACCAGTTTATGGGTTAAAATGACACAAATGTTATTATGTACTAACAATGGCATTGTGCCATTATCATATAAAAAAGAACCTGCTGCTAATAGAAGTTGTCAACAAAAACAAATAAACAAATCGTGTTTAAGTTTCTGTTTTATATTTATTAATTTAAACGATGACTTGACAAAAAGTTTAATTTGCAAAAACTTGTTTTGTCAACAATTAAGTTTTTTTGGAAAGTGTGTGTCAGAGAATTTAAAAGACCCAAAAACTAATATTTGTTTATGCTCAAACTGATGCGTATATAAAATTTAAAAATGTACCAGCCTCCCAATTAAATATTTATTTTCAAAATCTTACAAAAAATGTTTAGATTGTAAATACTTTTTAAAACGCATTATTTATTGTAATTTTGTTGATCAGTTTTAGTTTATTTGATAATTTTAACTTAACTGAGGTAATGGTTATCTATTAGAAATAAAACATATATTTGTACTTAAACTATAATTTAATCAGTTGAACTAATTTATTTGTTTTGTTTTAATTTCCTTCATATTATAAAATCAAACATTATCTATGTTATCGTAAATAGATAGATACATAAGTGGAAGGAAAAATTTGTATTATAGTTAAAAAGTAAATAATTTGTTTGTCATGTAGCACACACCTCCTCCCAAATACAGACACATTAGCAAGTGTATATGAATACCCGCTAGTTCTGTTTCTGATACTTCATCCATTTGTAATAGTAATTTTCGTATACAACATGAAAATTATTAGAAAATGTAACTCTTTAAATTGAAATATCTGAAATATAAAGAGGAGGAACTACCAACAAAATAATCTAATAGCAGACTAATGAAAGAACAAAAATAAGCATTTGGGACCAACTTACCACCGATTACACGAACTGCGGGGTATTTAATGTCATTAATTTTTTAATTTGACTTGTACTCTACTTCAATATTATGTCACAATTGTTTATTCGTAATCTTAGTAGCAAATCTTATGGTGTATGTACAAGGAAAACCAATTCTAGAGCAGATTGGTATAATAACTAGTTTGTAGTGGTAAAATTATACCAAAAATGAACTTTGTATTTCAAATAAATACCCACATAGCAAAAGGTATACTCAAACCAAAACTGAACTACAACTATATTAGAACTGATTTAACCTTAACTAGAACTGAGCTAGAACTGAACTAGAACTGAGCTAGAACTGAACTAGAATTGAACTAGAACTGAACTAGAATTGAACTAGAACTGAACTAGAACTAAACTAGAACTGAACTAGAACTGAACTAGAATTGAACTAGAACTGAACTAGAACTAAACTAGAACTGAACTAAAACTGAACTAGAACGGAAGTAGAACTGAACTAGAACTGAACTAGATCCGAACTAGAACTAAACTAAAACTGAACTAGAACGGAAGTAGAACTGAACTAGAACTGAACTAGAACTGAACTAGAACTGAACTAGAACTGAACTAGAACTGAACTAGAACTGAACTAGAACTGAACTAGAACTGAACTAGAACTGAACTAGAACTGAACTAGAACTGAACTAGAACTGAACTAGAACTGAACTAGAACTGAACTAGAACTGAACTAGAACTGAACTAGAACTGAACTAGAACTGAACTAGAACTGAACTAGAACTGAACTAGAACTGAACTAGAACTGAACTAGAACTGAACTAGAACTGAACTAGAACTGAACTAGATCTGAACTAGAACTAAACTAAAACTGAACTAGAACGGAAGTAGAACTGAACTAGAACTGAACTAGAACTGAACTAGAACTGAACTAGAACTGAACTAGAACTGAACTAGAACTGAACTAGAACTGAACTAGAACTGAACTAGAACTGAACTAAAACTGAACTAGAACTGAACTAGAACTGAACTAGAACTGAACTAGAACTGAACTAGAACTGAACTAGAACTGAACTAGAACTGAACTAGAACTGAACTAGAACTGAACTAGAACTGAACTAGAACTGAACTAGAACTAAACTAAAACTGAACTAGAACGGAAGTAGAACTGAACTAGAACTGAACTAGATCTGAACTAGAACTAAACTAAAACTGAACTAGAACGGAAGTAGAACTGAACTAGATCTGAACTAGAACTAAACTAAAACTGAACTAGAACGGAAGTAGAACTGAACTAGATCTGAACTAGAACTTAACTAAAACTGAACTAGAACGGAAGTAGAACTGAACTAGAACTGAACTAGAACTGAACTAGAACTGAACTAGAACTGAACTAGAACTGAACTAGAACTGAACTAGAACTGAACTAGAACTGAACTAGAACTGAACTAGAACTGAACTAGAACTGAACTAGAACTGAACTAGAACTAGAACTGAACTAGAACTGAACTAGATCTGAACTAGAACTAAACTAAAACTGAACTAGAACGGAAGTAGAACAGAACTAGAACTGAACTAGAACTGAACTAGAACTGAACTAGATCTGAACTAGAACTAAACTAAAACCGAACTAGAACTAAACTAAAATTGAACTAGAACTGATCTGATAGAAACAGAACTAAATAAAAATTATAAGTCATAGAAATATTGTCCCAAGACTAATAGTTTGAATAAATATTTTTAAGGTTCATTTAAGCTGATCACAACCAATACATCGCAAACTTAATTAAATTCATTTAAATTTGAACAACTGCAAATTGATTATAATTTGTATTTATTAAAAGGTCTGAGACGCACACACTCCCCAAAAAAAAAATACTTCTGTGTATATGTACGTGTGCAAATACTTATGCAATATGTATTTGCAAATACATAAATTAATTTCTAACACAATTATCTTATCAATCGTTATACGAAAATAAATCTTTCGAATACTAGTGTTGGCTAGAATCAAAAATCTATTGCGGTATAAATAGTGCCGGTTTATTAGCTTCATATTTTATTATAGTTTAGAAATTTCAACGTAAAGCTTCTCAGATACCAAAACAAAATGAAAATGAAGATGACACCAGAAATTGATCCGGGTCTACCCGAATGGATAACCATTGAATATATTCAAGATAAATTGATTAAGCGCCATAACGATGACAGTATTAAAGTGATGAAAATCAGTGGCAAATCTGCCAGTGGAAAGGGTGAAAATTACACCAGTGCCATTTTACGTATTAAGGTGACATATGTTAGCGATACTATTGTGGAACCCAAAACTGATTCCTTTGTCATTAAGATGACCTTCCAAGGAGAAGGTATTGAGGGTCAAGTTCTTGGCCAGTACAATGTTATTCAGTGTGAAATTGATGTATATCGTTATGTGATGCCACGCTTTGATGAACTCATGAAGGAACTCGGAGATGATGATCAAATTTTTGCCAAGACTTTGTATGTAGATGATAAACAGGGTGCCATTATTTTCGATGATTTGGTGGCAAGAGATTTCGCAGTAGCCAATCGTGTGGCTCGTTTAGATACAAAACATGTTCACTTGGCATTGCGCAAATTGGCTAAAATTCATGCTTGCGGTGCTGTGTTAAACGAACGTGATCCAGAATTCTTTAAGAAGCACGTATTCGATCATGGTTTTTATAATCGCCATACAGAAGGCTTCAAGCCCATGATGTGTGGTATAATTTCTGGTCTTTCGCATTATGTTAACAGCCGTCCTGATCTCAAGGCCAAATATGGCAAGAAATGTGAAGGTCTAGTAGATCGTATTATGGAGGATACCGTTAAGTGTTTCGATCCCGATGACAGACATTTCATGACTTTTGCTCATGGTGACTATTGGACAAATAACATGATGTTCCAGTATCCCAACGGTATCGATCAAGAACCCTCTGATGTTGTCCCTTAGATTTACAACTTTGTGTTTGGGGTCATCCTGCCATCGATTTGCATTATTTCTTTAATACCTCTTTGAAGGAAGAGTTGCGCCTGAACAATCAACAAGAGTTCATTAAGTATTATTATGATATTTTGGCAAGCACCTTAAAAGCTTTGAACTTCAAAGGACGTTTTCCTTCATTATTCCAATTCAATTTGGAAGTTCAATCTCGTAAATTTTTGGGTAAGTAATAAAAAACGATAAAGTGATTATTAAAATTTCAGAAGAATAACATTTTGTTGTGTTTTGTTGAAGAAAGTAATTTTAAATTTCTATTTTTTGGTAAAAATTATATAAAAATTCGTCTTTCGGGTCCATTAAATTATTATATTATTCTTTTCCTTTCAGCCATTAACGCTTCATTTGTCTTCCAAGCCCTTATGCTGAATACAAATACGGAACATGCTGAATTTAGTACATTAGTCAATGAAGAAGAAGTCGGTATTAAATTTAAGGATTCATTATATTTTGATAATGAATTGATGCAAAAGACTGTTGAACTCTTACTGCCTATTTATGATAATTTAGGTCTTTTAGATCCCATGTAATAAAAAAAAAAACAAAAATATTTATGTATTAAATAACTTAAATAAATGTACTTAGAATTATGAGAAAATATTTTAAACAAATTAAGCGAATTTTATTAAACAATTATAGGAAAGTCAGACTAAAACTGTAATAGATCGTTTTTTTATACCCACAATCAAAAGAGATGGAGGTACATATTTTGATTTTGTCACTCCGTTTGTTGCTCATCGAAATATTGGTAATTGTCTTATTCGACTAGTCTAGTCTATAGTCTAGTCTATAGTCTAGTCTATAGTCTAGTCTATAGTCTATAGTCTAGTCTATAGTCTAGTCTATAGTCTAGTCTATAGTCTAGTCTATAGTCTAGTCTACAGTCTAGTCTATAGTCTAGTCTATAGTCTAGTCTATAGTCTAGTCTATAGTCTAGTCTATAGTCTAGTCTATAGTCTAGTCTATAGTCTAGTCTATAGTCTAGTCTATAGTCTAGTCTATAGTCTAGTCTATAGTCTAGTCTATAGTCTAGTCTATAGTCTAGTCTATAGTCTAGTCTATAGTCTAGTCTATAGTCTAGTCTATAGTCTAGTCTATAGTCTAGTCTATAGTCTAGTCTATAGTCTAGTCTATAGTCTAGTCTATAGTCTAGTCTATAGTCTAGTCTATAGTCTAGTCTATAGTCTAGTCTATAGTCTAGTCTATAGTCTAGTCTATAGTCTAGTCTATAGTCTAGTCTATAGTCTAGTCTATAGTCTAGTCTATAGTCTAGTCTATAGTCTAGTCTATAGTCTAGTCTATAGTCTAGTCTATAGTCTAGTCTATAGTCTAGTCTATAGTCTAGTCTATAGTCTAGTCTATAGTCTAGTCTATAGTCTAGTCTATAGTCTAGTCTATAGTCTAGTCTATAGTCTAGTCTATAGTCTAGTCTATAGTCTAGTCTATAGTCTAGTCTATAGTCTAGTCTATAGTCTAGTCTATAGTCTAGTCTATAGTCTAGTCTATAGTCTAGTCTATAGTCTAGTCTATAGTCTAGTCTATAGTCTAGTCTATAGTCTAGTCTATAGTCTAGTCTATAGTCTAGTCTATAGTCTAGTCTATAGTCTAGTCTATAGTCTAGTCTATAGTCTAGTCTATAGTCTAGTCTATAGTCTAGTCTATAGTCTAGTCTATAGTCTAGTCTATAGTCTAGTCTATAGTCTAGTCTATAGTCTAGTCTATAGTCTAGTCTATAGTCTAGTCTATAGTCTAGTCTATAGTCTAGTCTATAGTCTAGTCTATAGTCTAGTCTATGGTCTAGTCTATAGTCTAGTCTATAGTCTAGTCTATAGTCTAGTCTATAGTCTAGTCTATAGTCTAGTCTATAGTCTAGTCTATAGTCTAGTCTATAGTCTAGTCTATAGTCTAGTCTATAGTCTAGTCTATAGTCTAGTCTATAGTCTAGTCTATAGTCTAGTCTATAGTCTAGTCTATAGTCTAGTCTATAGTCTAGTCTATAGTCTAGTCTATAGTCTAGTCTATAGTCTAGTCTATAGTCTAGTCTATAGTCTAGTCTATAGTCTAGTCTATAGTCTAGTCTATAGTCTAGTCTATAGTCTAGTCTATAGTCTAGTCTATAGTCTAGTCTATAGTCTAGTCTATAGTCTAGTCTATAGTCTAGTCTATAGTCTAGTCTATAGTCTAGTCTATAGTCTAGTCTATAGTCTAGTCTATAGTCTAGTCTATAGTCTAGTCTAGTCTAGTCTATAGTCTAGTCTCTAGTCTAGTCTATAGTTTAGTCTATAGTCTAGTCTATAGTCTAGTCTATAGTCTAGTCTATAGTCTAGTCCATAGTCTAGTCTATAGTCTAGTCTATAGTCTAGTCTATAGTCTAGTCTATAGTCTAGTCTATAGTCTAGTCTATAGTCTAGTCTATAGTCTAGTCCATAGTCTAGCCTATAGTCTAGTCTATAGTCTAGTCTATAGTCTAGTCTATAGTCTAGTCTATAGTCTAGTCTATAGTCTAGTCTATAGTCTAGTCTATAGTCTAGTCTATAGTCTAGTCTATAGTCTAGTCTATAGTCTAGTCTATAGTCTAGTCTATAGTCTAGTCTATAGTCTAGTCTATAGTCTAGTCTATAGTCTAGTCTATAGTCTAGTCTATAGTCTAGTCTATAGTCTAGTCTATAGTCTAGTCTATAGTCTAGTCTATAGTCTAGTCTATAGTCTAGTCTATAGTCTAGTCTAGTCTATAGTCTAGTCTAGTCTATAGTCTAGTCTATAGTCTAGTCTATAGTCTAGTCTATAGTCTAGTCTATAGTCTAGTCTCTAGTCTAGTCTATAGTCTAGTCTATAGTCTAGTCTATAGTCTAGTCTATAGTCTAGTCTATGTCTAGTCTATAGTCTAGTCTATAGTCTAGTCTATAGTCTAGTCTATAGCTCTATAGTCTAGTCTATAGTCTAGTCATAGTCTAGTCTATAGGTCTATAGTCTAGTCTATAGTCGTCATAGTCTAGTCTATAGTCTAGTCTATAGTCTAGTCTATAGTCTAGTCTATAGTCTAGTCTATAGTCTAGTCTATAGTCTAGTCTATAGTCTAGTCTATAGTCTAGTCTATAGTCTAGTCTATAGTCTAGTCTATAGTCTAGTCTAGTCTAGTCTATAGTCTAGTCTATAGTCTAGTCTATAGTCTAGTCTATAGTCTAGTCTATAGTCTAGTCTATATGTCTAGTCTATAGTCTAGTCTATAGTCTAGTCTATAGTCTAGGTCTATAGTCTAGTCTATAGTCTAGTCCTATAGTCTAGTCTCTATAGTCTAGTCTATAGTCTATAGGTCTATAGTCTAGTCTATAGTCTAGTCTATAGTCTAGTCTATAGTCTAGTCTATAGTCTAGTCTATAGTCTAGTCTATAGTCTAGTCTATAGTCTAGTCTATAGTCTAGTCTATAGTCTAGTCTATAGTCTATAGTCTAGTCTATAGTCTAGTCTATAGTCTAGTCTATAGTCTAGTCTATAGTCTAGTCTATAGTCTAGTCTATAGTCTAGTCTATAGTCTAGTCTATAGTCTAGTCTATAGTCAAGTCTATAGTCTAGTCTATAGTCTAGTCTATAGTCAAGTCTATAGTCTAGTCTATAGTCTAGTCTATAGTCTAGTCTATAGTCTAGTCTATAGTCTAGTCTATAGTCTAGTCTATAGTCTATAGTCTAGTCTATAGTCTAGTCTATAGTCTAGTCTATAGTCTAGTCTATAGTCTAGTCTATAGTCTAGTCTATAGTCTAGTCTATAGTCTAGTCTATAGTCTAGTCTATAGTCTAGTCTATAGTCTAGTCTATAGTCTAGGTCTATAGTCTAGTTTCTATAGTCTGTCTATAGTCTAGTCTATAGTCTATAGTCTAGTCTATCGTATAGTCTATAGTCTAGTCTATAGTCTAGTCTATAGTCTAGTCTATAGTCTAGGTCCTAAGTAGTCTAAGTCTAGTTAGAGTCATAGTCTATAGTCTAGGATCTATAGTCTAGTTATATCTAGTCTATAGTCTAGTCTATTTCTAAGGTCTAGTCTATAGTCTAGTCTATAGTCTTAGTCTATAGTCTAGTCTTATAGTCTAGTCTTATAGTCTAGTCTATAGTCTAGTCTAGTCTATAGTCTAGTCTATAGTCTAGTCTATTAGTCTAGGTCTATAGGTCTAGTCTATGTCTAGTTCTATAGTTCAGTCTATAGTCATAGTCTATAGTCTAGTCTATTAGTCTAGTCTATAGTCTTAGTCTATAGTCTAGTCTATAGTCTGTCTATAGTCTAGTCTATAGTCTAGTCTATAGTCGTCTAGCATAAATTATTTAGTACTTTGAACATAATTGGGGTGGGCATTTATTTATAGCCTACAGAACTATAGTGGCAAGTAGTATTAATAGGTTTGTGCTGATGTTTGTAGCGCATAAAAATATTGGTCCTACACCCACCTTAAAGTATACCGATCGACTCAAATCACGATTAAGACATGTCCGTCCGTCTGTCCGGCTGGCTGGCAATGTAAACCTTGTGCGCAAGCTACAGGCCACAATTTTTAAGATATTTGGATAAAACCATAAAACCAAACCATGGACCATACGAGTTTTTCGGCACATGGTTGAAGTCGGTCCATTATCCCATACCCATACAACCTGAACCTCCGATTTTGGGTTTTTAACTCATAACAATGTGAAATATACTACTATCTCACCAAAAATTAGCACAACTATGTAAGTCTTATATAAGCATAAATGACCATGCCAATTTTTATAATGATCGGCCTTCGTTTGACCCTAGCCCCCATACAAAGCCCCCTTTATTTTAAACGTCCAAAAATTTACTTATAACCATTAGTATCGCGATAAAATTGAGCATAACTAACCTTTATATAAAATTACATCCCTCTTCCCATTTTTTTAAGGATCGGCCCATATTTGACCCTAATTCCCATATAAAGCCTCTTTTAGAAATTTAGTTTTTCATCAATGAATTTCTTAAATATATTGGTATTATGTTAAAATTCAACACATTTTTTATGAAAAATAAATAATTTTTAAAATATAACCATGGTGTAGGGTATCATATAGTCGGCCATGTCCGACTACACTTTTCTACTTGTTTTATCATAATTTAGTGCTATTCTAAAATTTCAATTATATATGCTTGCTGCAGACATATGTATGTATAATGGGTAAACCTAATGAAAACTACGAGAAATTCTTCATCTTTTAATTTTATTGATTCACTTCTAACAGACCTCTTCTGTCAAACATTGGCAAGAGATTTTTCAAATTCTCCTGGATTATGGGATTATCATACAAACGTCTCTTAAAGCTCATAGCTCGATCATCTTCACCCATTAAAGCATTATAATCGGCATCTGTAGAATCTTGATTCAACATGACCGGTTGTATAACAACAGAAGAGTGCATAGCTTTAACAAAAATTTATAAAAAATATATAAAAATATAATTTTGTGCATAAATTTTATACAAATCAGTTACACTTACCAAAAAATTTCTTCTGTTCTGCTTGTATTCTGAATTTTTTCAAACTAGGTATGGAATTTGATTTATAGTTTAACTTTTGCAAAGTATCTGTAAAAATCTGATGATACATTTGAAATAATTCATCTTGATGATAAAGTCTTAATGGTTCTTTTATAGAAGTATTA